AATAAATAAATAAATAAATAAATAAATAAATAAATAAAAATAAAATCTTCTTTTTAAGGTACAAAAGCCATGTGATCCAATTAGCGTATAGAACATACAATCAATTCATTACCAATTCAACAAAACCAACTTACCTACATCTAGAGGTAATCGGAAATGCCAACCATCCCTTTCATCTTTACTTGAGGAATGAGTTGGATATCCATATTTGCCTAAATTAATTCCAAAATCAGTATTCCTCTGCCGCTCTAGTCTAGTCAATATACCCTCGATTCCAGTATCTTCCTCTGCCTCAATTTCTCTGAGCCAATAAAGAAATTTTTTCCAATAAGCAGACTTCCTAAAACAATAAATATATACAAAAATGTAGCTGATGAAAATTTTAAATGTTGGATATTGTTCAATCAACTATATTTTCGTTTACTTGAATCCAATACCTAGCATAGAATTTAACATCTGGTTGGAGAACAAAATTTCATAAAGTGAGGTCAATACTTCCAAAAGAACATACAGGTTTCTGTATTCTTCTTTTCATCGGTTGACTGAATAATCTTCAACAGATGTAGTATTGAAATAGCAAGAAAATAATCGAAGGACAATAGAAGTCAATTCAATATCTGGAAAAAAAACAAAGATAAGTCCAGAAATCCAATGTTCAACTAAGACTTCAAATAGAAACTCAGTTCAAGCTTCCCCAGCCCCTCCGCAAGACAGCCTAAATGAAGCATATATCCAGAAAGTTTGAAGGTGAAAGGTGAAAAATCTCACAGTGATCTGCCCGAGGACGAAGCCAGTTGCAAAGAATTCGAATCTCCAGAAGATAGTGTCTCTTCATTTTCAACCAAAGATTCCCCAGATAAGGAATTAACATCATTTTCTCCCACAGAAGTAATCTCTTTACAACTCTCAACTCTCTTATGAAACTCTCCAATGTCAAAATCCATAGATTCTTTTACATTCACCTGCAAATTTTTCTCATTCTCATCCTCCCAACCAAGCGAATACCACCCACCTCTCTTCTTTATTGCCTCCACCAAATCCATTCGACCGGCTCTTACCAACTCTTCCTTTGTCGGAAACATCGTTGGCTTCTCAGATTTCTCCATAAACTCCATTATTTCCTCCTCCAATTCTATATCACCTTCACTCTGTTTACACCCACAACACCAAGAACTATAATTATTATTATCAAAACTCCTCGCCCTTTTCACTTCAAGAACCCCATATGAACGGCTAAAGATCGCAGCTTTTTTATAATTTCGAGCCCCTTTCTTGGCATTATCTATAAAAACTAGAGAAGGGACCAGTGGATTATTCAAATGAAATAAAGGGTTATGGAATTTGAATATGTGTGATTGGGTTGTAAAGAGAGTAACCATCGTCCAGCATTTCGTCGAACACTTGGAGGTGGGTTCTCGGCTCTTAATTATTTGGGGAATAAAAGACCGTTAAAGATGAACTACACAGATGCAAGAAAGGGAAGGAGGGAGCTGAAAACTGAAGCAACGAACAATATGTACCTTTCCAGAAGCGACGAACAAACCCAAAGCGTAGCAGTTAATGAGGATTGTGCAATTATTTTACTTAAGACTGTACTTCTACTTGTGAGGATTCCAAGATAAAAGGTTCTTTATGTCTGCAGAATTGGGGATAAAAACAAAATTAGAGTTCGACAAGAGGCCATTTTTCCAAGTACATAAGAGATCTACGAAACTCAACAGGTGCTTGATGCATAGATTGGGATTATAATTTAATAATTTAAAAAGGAT